CTCCCTCCCTCCCTCCCTTCCTTCCTTCCTTCCCTTCTTCTTCTTCTTTTTTTTTTCAATAGGGTCTTGCTCTATCACCCAGGCTGGAGTGCAGTGGTATGATCATGGCTCACTGAAGCCCTGACCTCTGGTCTTAGGTGAGCTCTGGGCTTAGGCGATCCTCTCCTCAGCCTCCCAAGTAGCTGGGACTATAGGCATGCGCCACCACGCCTGGCTAATTTTTGTATTTTTTGTAGAGACAGGGTTTTGCCATGTTGCCTAGGCTGGTCTCAAACTGCTGGGGTCCAGCGATACTCCCACCTTGGCCTCCCAAAGTGCTGGGATTACAGCCATGAGCCACTGTGCCCAGCCTGTTTCTAAATCATTTCTATTACAAACGGTGCTGCTATGTACTCAGTCATTTCATCACTGTTTGAGCACATCTGTAGGATACAGTCCTAGGATTGGATTGCTTGGGTAAATAGAGACATTACTTTCTAAAGGTGGAATTTCAGAAATCTGTGACAAGCATGCATGAGATATTTTTACACTGAAGTTTGGGGCGTGTCAGATCCAGCTAGAAGTTGACTGTCTGTGGGGCTCCTCTCTGATATATTTGATGTTAGGGAATGATGTTTCTGGGTTTGATAGTTTGTTCTCTAAAGAGAAAAGAGAGAGCTCACAGCAGAAAGGTAGCTTTTTGGATTCTAGCCAGGGCTCACTAATTGGATCTCATCTCACTTCACTTCTAGAGGAAGACCACTCAGGAAAACAAGATACCTGGTCCATGCAGCAGTGGGTTCCCCAGTGCCCTGATAGAAAGTTTGAGAAGTTTAGGATTCAGTCCCTAAAAACATATGGACTGAAGAGGCTCTGGCCCTAAAATCACCTTGTTGGGGATAGTGGGAAGGTCCCTGCTATTTTAAAAATATACTGAGGATGTGATTCCTAACACCACAAGATGGGTGGGTGGGTGAATGGATGGATGGCTGGGTGAATGGATGGATGGCTGGGTGAATGGATGGATGGCTGGGTGAATGGATAGATGGATGAACGAATGGGTAGATGGATGGATGGATGGATGGATGGATGGGTGGATGGATGACTGGATGGGTGGATAGATGGATGGATGAATGAATGGGTGGATGGATGGATACATACATAGATTCATACATATAGAAAGGCAAATAGTGATCAAACAAGTATGAACTTAGACCTGCTTTACCTAATAAGGTAACTTCTTTGAGCTCCTTGAACCTCAGTCTCTGACTGTAATAGGATTAACAATGCCTTTTTTGTGTGTGGGACTATAGTGACAAACCAACAGATGATGTACGTAAAGGCCCTAGCATGGTCCTGGCACACAGTGGGTACCCATATATGGTGGTAGTTGCTATCATTTACTATGAGTGGGCATTCTCTGATTGGTGTACATCGAAGGCTTTTTTTTTTTTTTTTTTTTTTTTTACTTTGCAGGAGCCAGATTACACCCTGTTTGACCCTGCCTTCAAAGGGATGACTCTGTAAGGTAGGGGCTCTCAGCCTTCTTTCCCTCCCAGCATGCACGGTGGGTGACACTGGGGTGCCTGACACACTCCCAGCATGCATTTCACAGGGCAGGATTTCTGGCAACAGTCATTTCTCTCCAGGCCAGGAAAGCAACCTAGAATCAACTTATATTCACATTAAAACAATACATAAATAAAGGAAAGAGAAGGCAATAACCCTCAGATTTTGGTCTCCTGGCTAAAATGTATTTGCAAAACAGCGCACAACTTGCACCTGCTGCCCTCTAGCGTAATAATGAGGGTGGGTAGAGGTACCTATGGGATGGCCTATTCCAGTGGGTTTGGGTAAATGAAGACAGTTGTCAGAGGGGTGGCTGCTATTCCCCACATGGTTATGGAATACTTCTCTCTTGGGCCTTTGCTGTGTGCCAGGCGAGGTGCTAGGTCCTCTCTGCAGTGTGCAGTGACCCCGGGGAACCACAGACATTCAGGACCCTGGCTGGTAGCTCAGTTGCTTGACTAAGGGGGTCAGGCTTGCCAGGCCCAGGCGTTAGGCAAACCCAGGCCTGACCTGCCAAAGCAGCTGCTTTAAGCCTCAGAATCTTCCACTGGGCAATGGAATCCTACCTCACCTGACTCCTCCCAGCACCCCCTCCCCTCAGTCCGTGGGGACTAAGTGTTCTCTCCCCTGTGTCCCCACAGCACTTTGTTCCCACAGCTATTAAAGTACTCATTGTTGGCTCTAAATATATCTCTCCTCCTTCCAAAGCAATATTCTTTTTGTTTTGTTTGCTAGAGATTTTATGCAATCTCAAATTCTTTGTTAAAATGGCCCTGGGGTTTACATTATTTTCTATCTAGGAGATTAGAGTTGAAAACATAAATTGGTGGTTTGGAATTCCACTGAGTTCTTCTCTTTAGATAGAAAGAATTGTGGAAAGTCCGGCTTGTCCAGAACCCTCACTATGGGCACTGTCCTTGAATCCTGCTCTCATTCATTCTGCAGTCAGCCAGTCATTCAACGAACACTTACTGAACTCCCACCTTTGTGCCACTATGCTAGGCGCTGGGTATATTTGGATGGAAAGGACCTTGGCTATGCTTTAGAGACCAACACAATGTGGTTATCTAGCTTTAGACTTTGCTGACGTACTAAAATCTTTTTTTTTTTTTTTTTTTT